CCCAGACATTCCTTGACTGAAATTGAACCCAGGACCCTTCAGTCTGTAGGCTCATGCTCTATCCATTGAGCCAGATCAGTGAGGACTCATCATTGATGTTTCTGCCTCTCTCCCTCTCCATTCCTCTCTGAAATCAATAAAAATATTTTTTTTTAAATAAATGAAAGTTACTAAAGCCCAGCTGGTGTGGCTCAGTGGTTGAGCATCAACCCATGAACCAAAAAGTTACTGGTTTGGTTCTCCGTCAGGGCACATGCCCCAGTTGCAGGCTCGATCCCCGGTGTGGGGCATGTAGGAGGCAGCCAATCAATGATTCTCTCTCATTGATGTTTCTATCTCTCCCCCTCCCTTCCTCTCTGAAATCAATAAAAAATGCATTTAAAAAAATTTTTTTAATGAAAACATGCTCCTTTAAGCCTATTTAATTTTTCTACACATTACCACTAAAGTTAATCGTTTTTTCATTTTAAATATATTTAGAAAAATAATAATTTTTTAAAAGAACAAAAATATTATTTTATTGAGTTTATTTTTACTAGTACATATTGTTTAGAAAACACTTGAATCTTTGAAAAATCTTTGTACCAAATGTATTTGCTTATAGCTTTTGTCAATGTGAGTTTTATTTTGTGGTCTGTCTTTACCTATTAAAGCCAATTTTCTCAGGTTACATTTTTCCATCTTAAGGTCATGATGAAGATTTGATTCTTTTGTCAATTTTCAGTCAGCAACAAGTTTTATTTTGTGTCAGTTATTTACTATTTTATTTTTTCCTGCGTCAGACTTTAGAATTCAGTTTTACCTTAAAGAATGATGTCAATGTCTGAAATTTCAAATTTAGCCCTTCTGTATCCTTCCAACTATCCTTCCAATTTGTGTGTCAAGTATTTACTCTCTGTGCTATGCTATTGTATAGACAAAGAGCAAAAGTAAAAACCTTAGGAACAAAGACATTCAGTTAGATTTATGAGGCCTGATAATTCTGTCCATCCATCTATCCACCTATCACTTTGTCCACCAGCCACTCATCAGTCCTTCCATCCATCTGTCCACCCATCTACTCACATTAATCTACCCCATCTAACTACCCATCTATCCATCCATTCACCACTTACCCATCCACTCAACCATCCATTCATCCTTCTATCCAAACATCCACCCATCAATCCATCCATCCACCAATCCAGTCACCTTCCCATTCATTAATCTACCCCTGTGGTTTTTAACCAGGGGCAATTTTGCCCCCAGGGAATAATGGGAAATGCCTGGAGACATCTTCTGCTGTCATAAGTGGTTGATGCTACTGTCACCTAGTGGATAAAGGCCAAAAAGGCTGCTCAACAGCCTACAACACAGGACAGCCCCACAGCAAAGAATTATCCGACGTAAAATGTCTTCAGTACCCAAGTGGAGAATCCCTGATCCATTCCCATCCAACCACCGGCCATCCATTCACCACACCCATTTATTTAAATGTTTACTGAGCGCCCGTTGCTGTGTCTCCCAGTTCTGACTGGGGAGCGTGTGAAACAACAAGTGCACAGGTGTTACCCTTGGGTGTTCAGATTTTTATAATCAGAAACCATGGAGCCCTGGCCGGTGTGGCTCAGTGGATAGAGCATCGGCCTGCGGACTGAAGGGTCCCAGGTTCGATTCCGGTCAAGGGCACAAGCCCGGGTTGTGGGCTCGGTCCCCAGTAGGGGGCAGCGTGCAGGAGGCAGCCGATCAATGATTCTCTCTCATTATTGATGTTTCTTTCTCTCCCTCTCCCTTTCTCTATGAAATCAATAAAATACACACACACACACACACATACGAGGCCCGATGGATGAAAATTCACGCACTGGAGGCGGGTCCCTCAGCCCGGCCTGCCCCTCTCACAGTCCGGGAGCCCTCAGGGGCGGGAGGCGACGCCCCATCACCCCTCTGCTGCTGCCACTGCCGGCAGCGAAAGCCTTGGGCGGCTCTGGGGG